TCAACAATGTGTACATATGCAGAGTGGAAGCATAGAAGAGTGAGAAAATGAGGAGAATTAAGAGATTAAAGAAAAGTGAGAGAAACCCTGGAGAACGAGAAGGGTTTCCAAAGGAGGAGAAAGCCACTGAACTCCATCATGTAGAGGTTTTAGAGGGCCATGGCAGAAACTGGACATGGGCTGTAGTGTTCTCTGTTCACATTGGTTAATTCTCTGGGCTGTCATGAGCGAAGCTAAGGGAAGGCTCACATGCTCCCTGCCTGTACCTCCTAGCCCACCCATATCAATGGTCACGTACTATTCATTATATACTGCCCACCCAACTAGGGGCGGTTGAAGCCCCTGCTCCCTGCCTCTGACTTGAGTTGTTAGGTGTTGATCTGGATGCTGTTACTGCTTCTCAGCTTGCAGGTGTCTTGCTAGGTGTCAACTAGATTGTTTCTTTCTTTGAAAAATCTTCATATTTACATGACTGGCTGGCAATCTTAACCACAACAGAGCGTTAACTCTAGCATAGCCACCAAGATGCAGCTACGATGTTCTTGGTTATATACTTGTCTATGGAACTGTCTAGGGTCTCTGTCCCAAAATGGAAGCAGGTTTGTGAGAAGCCATCCTTATTAATAATTCAGTCTGTTTTAATTGGCTGCATAAGAAGCAAGGATACGTAAAAGAGCAATCCTATGCAGTGTGCATTCCAGGGAGGCTCATGAGAGCTGGCCAGCAGCCCACCAACATTTCCTTGCTTCTCCTGTCTCCTTGTCTCTTGGCCCTTGTATCTTCTGTCTGCCTCTAGTCAGGTCTGATTGGCTGTCTCACATTTTCTGTAGGCTCTCCCTCAGCCTTAGTGCTTGGCCTTCCTCTTCCAACCCAAACATTCTCTTGGAACTCTAACATCCATCCGACTGTCACCTCTGTGAGCAGAATGTAGTTTTCAGGATGGAGCCTTTTCTTCTTCCTACCTACAGGGAGCTGACTTCTGCATCAATATCTCTATTTTTAATTTCTGATATATTTTATGTATTGTTCCTTTCTCTCTCTCTTTTTTACTTTAGTAACTCCTAAGTAAAAAAAATCTTTCCTGTTGTGTGTTTGCTTTCTGTCTCATTAATTTTGTGTGTGTGTGTGTGTGTGTGTGTGTGTGTGTGTGTGTGTGTGTTGTATGTGCCTCCACACACTTGCAGAGGCCAGAGGAGGCACGTTAGGTGTCCTGCTTTATCAGTTTCTGCCTTATTCCCTTAAGGCAGGGATTCTCACTGAACCTGGAGGTAGGCTGGTGGGCTGGAGGCTTCAGTGGTCGTCCTCTTTTTACTGGGGTGGACATACCTGGGTTTTTAGGTGGCTGCTGGGGATTTGAACAAAGGTCCTCATGCTTGCACAGCAAGTGATCTTCCCCAAAGAGCTGTCACCCAAGCCCGGTCCTCTCCATCTTGAATGATTTCCGATCCTGTCTCTTGCCATACTGTAGAATAGATAGAGTGGCCGAGACCACTGCTGTTCCTCCCAATACTCCTTGGTCTTTCTATCCCGATATGAGCGGAGACTTAGTTTAGTGCAGGCATCTCATTTCCTCTGCTCGTGTTTGTAATGGCGTTCTGGGACAATTGGTCATCGTTTTACAGGATGGATTTTGTTTGACACATTTGAAGGTCTGATTAGCCTTTAGGAAACCCAGCTAGAGGAATTTTGTTTCTTTTTCTCCACAAGTTTTTGAGAGAGGTTTACATTTGCATTTCAGGGTCAGTGCAGAAAGGTCCTCAGGGTCAGTGTAGAAAGGTCCTCTGCCCTCCAGATGCCTTTCTTTTCTGTGATCATAGTATAGTGTTCAAAATGAAGAAATCAGCATGGGTCAAATTTCCACCCATGTCTGTTTTCTCTTCTGGGATCAGAGCACGCGAACACCCACTATCTCCTCCGACCCCGGGTTCTCCGAAGCCTCCTGTGGATACTGTTACCTTTGTCCTTTTGTCTGTCATCCGGACACTTGGAGGAGGATGGCCAAGCCGTCTGGGGGGTACTCTCAGTTACTGATGATTTCTGACGGTTAGACAGGGCTATGCGTTGGGGGACGTGGAGCACCTTCTTGTCACCGGTTGGAGCCTGTGGTGTAGGTATCAACATCGGGATTGGTGATAAAACTGTCCCATCCCTGAGTTAAGGGGTGGGGAAAGGGATGCCAGTTACATTTTGCCATTGTGGCAGAACACCACTGAAAATGCCTTGAAGGAAGAAAGGTTTGTTTTGGCTCACCGGTTCGAGGTCACCTGGCTCCATCACTTTAGCCAGCAATGAAGCAGATTGTGAGTGTGGAGAGGGGATGGTGGCCAGAGTGTAGCATCATGTGATGGTGACCTCCTCATGCTTGACAGCCTGAAAGTGGAAGGAGAGAGATAGAAGAGGCCAGGGACAAGTAGAGCCTTCCAGAGGACCCATCCCATGCCTTCCTTCCACCATTTAAATCCCACCTCCTGGTGTTACCTTATTGTGAGTCCATAAGTGGGTCGATCCATTAATTATTTCCGAGTTCCTCATCATCTAGTAACCCCTCAACAACTGGATCTACCAACTGTGGAGAAAGCTTTCCACACCAAGCTTTATGGAGATGCCTTCCCTCACAAACCGCCACATTTCACCACAGCAAGGTTAGTGTCTTCCTTCTCACACTTACTTGTCAGAATATTTTATTTCTAAAGATGTTTAACGAATTTATCTATGTGTATATGCATTCATGGACATGGGCATGTGCATGGGCAGGCTGGTAGGGAGGTGGGACATGCTTATCCTTGTGCCTCAGGGAGGGTGTGGAAGTCTGCTCGCATTCGTTCATTGTACCTTTCTACACTGACACATCCTTTTACATATTGATGAGGTACAGTATGATTATTTGAGATGTGTATGCACATGTTATGATTAAATCTGGGTAACCTGCCACTTTGTGTTGGGAGCCATCAAGCTTCTCTGTAGTTGTTTGCAAAATATATAGTCGATAGCTGTAAATGGACTCGCCTTATCGTACATACTCTCATTGTGTCTTTTAAGACACATTTTTATTGCAGTATACGTTTATATCCTATAAAATTTGCCTACCGTCAGTGTAAAATTCAGGAATTGTAGTGAATTTAAAGAGCTATGTAATTATCACCATAACCCAGTGTTAGGACATTCCTGTCACCTCCGTGGGTGGTGTCTGCTGCCATTTGTCTCCATCTCAGCCCTAGGCAATAGCTGAGCTGCCTCCTGCCTCTGCCAATTAGCATGGACCAGGTGTTGGAGCAGCCACGCTTTCTGTGAGTGAAGTGCTTTGAAGCTGGTGCGTGTGCATTGTGTTTCTTTTTATTGCCACGTGATTCTGCCTTCTGAATGCACTGTACTTCGCTTGTGAACCTGTCGGTTGATGGATGGTTTCCAGGTTTTACTACTATGAATAGGGTGGCTATACACATTCTCTTACTTGTTTGCTTGAAAGTGTCTTCCTTCCTTTTGGGTAGGCTCCTGGGAGTACGATTGCTGGGTCATTTGGCGAGGTTATGTCTATCTTCTAAAGGAATGGCTGAGCAGTCTGGCTGCTCCTTTGTACACTTCCGTTAACCACAGTGAGGGTTCCGATTTCTGCATGTCCTGTCGTCACTCACTATCCCTTGTCCTTTTGAGTCTAGCCCAGAGTGGCATTTTGCTGTGGTTTTAACTTCTACTTCCCTAATGGTGAGTGACGTTAGCTGATTTTCATCGATAGTCATGTGAATGTCTTCTTTAAAGAAAGGTTTGTTCAACCTTTGCGCAATTTTAATGAGGGTATTTGTTTTATTTTTATTGAATTGTAAGAGCTCTTTATTCTGGTTCTCAGTAAGCCTTTTTATGAGAAATGTGATTTGTAAACATTTCTGTTGACAGTCTATGGCTTGGCCTTTTGTTTTTCTTAATAAACTCTTTTGAAGGAAAAAATTTAGAAATTCTGATGAAGTCCAAGTTGTCAATTAGTTGTGCCTTTGTTGCTGAATCTATGAACTCCTCATCAACTCAAGGTTGTCAAGACGTTTTTCTGTTTTCCATGCTAAGAGCTTTATATGCTTGTCTCTTATCCTTTTATCTGTGATCCATTTTGAATTTGTTTTTGAAAATGATGTGGAAAAAGAGTATAGGTTTTTTTTTTTTGTTTTTTTTTTTGGTTTTTCGAGACAGGGTTTCTCTGTGTAGCTTTGCGCCTTTCCTGGATCTCGCGCTGTAGACCAGGCTGGCCTTGATTTTTTTTTTTTTTTTAAGAGTATAGGTTTTTAAGTTTGATTTAATTTAATTTTTCAATCTTTAGAGGCCTGCCACCCAGCTCCCAAATAGATACACAGAGACTTATTCTTACTTATAAATGCCCGGCCTTAGCTTGGCTTGTTTCAAGCCAGCTTTTCTAACTTTAACTATCCTGCTTCACTTACAACTTCTGGCTCTCTTGCTCGGTGGCAGTAGTCATTCATGCTTCACAGGAAACATGTGGGACTTACGTGTTTTGGAGGGCCATGCATTTTGCCAGAACTGGACACCATAAGCCTTTGTTGAAGGAATTGAAACAAGTCTTTACCCAGTGATGGATGCAGCTGGTCTCTCTGCCTGCACTGTAGACTGGCTGGCTTTACTCTTGTGGGGAGAACTTTGATATTGCTTCGATAAACCTCCTCGGCTCCAAGGGTCTCAGTGAGGGGAGAGGTCTGGCGGGGTCTGACGGTGTCCCCAAGGCTTTGGCAGTGCTCAGTCTCACAGGCTGTGTTTTCATATCCATGACCCAATCCATTTTCTGTGCTTGGAACAGTTAATTATGTGGGTTCTTGAAGAAAACACACGGGTCCATTAGAGAACTGGTGTTTTGGAGTAATCTGGTATCTTATTGTTTATTTAGTTTGCAAAGTTAATTCTGTTCCCAGGTGGTACCAGTGACCCTGGCAGCACCCTTGAGATCTGCATGAGTCAGCCTCCAGGCTGGGGGATGGCATGTATCTTTTGCTTTCCCGCAGGCAGCCTCTGTGGTACTGGTACTAGTGCGTGCTACCTGCTGCCTATCTTTGATACTGTGTTTGTGCGGAGGAAGAACCGTTGCCAAGGCCTGGGGACAGCCATGCTGAGGGACTTCTGTGACACCTTTCGAGAAGATGAAGCCCTGGGTATCAGTTGCCCGATTTCTCCTGCCATGTACAAAGGTAACCTCCACCGTGTGTCCTGTGTGAACATTTGGGTAACAGTGATGGCTAACACGTGCCCTGTGGTGACTGAAACAGAAGAGTCTCGGGAGTTCTGGGTAGATGTGGGCTGTGGCTGCTCCTTCAGCTTTGGCATAACTGGGGACTTCATGTTTGATTTGCAAAGGGGACCTCTGAGAGCCTGAGAAATGATTACATTTGAAAATGCAGATGGTCCCCGCCCAACTCCCCATGATGCCACTTAGGATTTTTCAGTTTTATGATAGTGTGAATGCAATCCACACTCAGTAGAAATCACACTTCACATTTAGAGTTTTGACCTTTTCCTGGCCTTGTGACTTGTGTTCCCATACAATCTGAAGAGCGGCAACAGCCGGGATTCTGTGGTGTTTTGTGTTCATGGTGGCTTTGGCTACAAATAGTCACAGGAGATCTTGCACATGGATTAGAGAATGGACTTGGGTTAGATGTGTATGTCTTGTAGTGGCTCTGTTCGGAGTAGTTTTCTTTCTTTTTTTTTAAATGTTTAAAAAATGTGTGTGTGTGTGTGTGTGTGTGTGTGTGTGTGTGTGTGTGTGTGTGTGTGTAATTTATTAGAACGGCTTACAGGCAGTGGTCTGGCTAATCCAACAATGGCTGTCTACCAACTGAAGGTTCCAGAATCTCGTAGTTGTTCAGTCCCTGAGGCTAGATGTCTCAGCTGGTTTTCTGTATATGCTGGAATCCTGAAGAAGTAGGCTCTAATGCTGGTGAAGGAATGGACTTGCCAGTGAGAGCGAGCAGGTAAAGAGAGCGAGCTTCCTTCTTCCATGTCTTTTATACAGGCAGCCAACAGAAATTCTGGTCCAGAGTAAAGGTGGTTCTATCACCCCACCGGAAAGATCTAGATTAGAAGTGGGTTTTCCAATTTCAAATTATTTAATTAAGAAAAAATCCCTCACAGGTGTGCCCAGCCATTTGCGTTTTAGTTAATTCCAGATGTAGTCAGTTGACAGCCAAGAATAGCCATCACAAGTACGCTTGTAAGAAGAGAGAGCCAGCCGGGCGGTGGTGGCGTACACCTTTAATCCCAGCACTCGGGAGGCAGAGCCAGGCGGATCTCTGTGAGTTCGAGGCCAGCCTGGTCTACAAAGTGAGTTCCAGGAAAGGCGCAAAACTACAGAGAAACCCTGTCTCGAAAAACCAAAAAAAAAAAGAAGAGAGAGCCTAGGGATGCACATGGCCATGGCCATGTGAGGACACTGAGAAGATACACAGGAAGCTCCGGGAAGAGGCCTTGGAACAACCCAACCCAAGGTACCCTGCCTCCAGAGCCTTGAGGAATTAACTTGTGTTGCCATGGAACCGCCAGCCCATCATATCTGAGGAGTCTGATTCCAGAATTCAAACTTACTATGGCTTGAAAACTTTAAAAAAAATGACACTTGTACTGAAGTGTACAGACCTTCCCATTGCCATCATCCCCTAAGCATCACAGTCTAGTAGCTATTGATGTGGCGTCTACGTAGCATCAGGTGCAGAAAGGCATCTAGATGACGGACCGTACACAGGAAGTTGTGTGTCCATGCAAACACCATGCCTGACATTTGATGTAAACATAGCATCTTTGGATTTGGTGCCTTCAGAGGTCTGCAGTACCTTTGGATACCAAGGGATGGCTATTTCCTAGTTGCAGCCCTAGAAACTCAGTGCATGATGGGTAGAAGTGGGAGTGTGAGATGAACAGGGATGATTCTGTACCCATGGGAAGTTGGTGGAAGGGGTTCGGGTGCAGCAGGGTCAGAGCAGTGAGGAGGAGGTGGAGGGTGGCCACAGAAGGGCTGGAAAGGCGGTGTGAAAGAACCCAGAGAGCTAACTGGCTGAACCAGGGGGACCAGGAGTCAGACTCATAGCTTGTCTCTCTCCTTCCCAGTCCTCAAGCAGTTCCTGTTGGCCCATCCAGGCGAGAGAGGGCGCTTGTGGGAGGTGGAGTCCCCAGGGGCCTGGGGCCAACGTGTCAACATCTGGCTCAATATTTGTCTTCAGGAGGCAGGACTTCATGATGGTGAGTGGGATGGACATCTGCCCAGGGGTCTAGTCATCTTAGTGTCCACAGCTGCCTGAAATGGGGACAGTTTCTCTTCCATTGATTGAGTCTGATTCATGTATGTTACTGCTCTTGAGTATGTAGCTGAACAAAGGAGGGACTGAGACCCAGTGGGGATACTTGTTCTGTATTTCTCATCCATGACCATCTCATCTGCACGGCTCTAAAAGATCTCCCTCAGATCTGGAACTGCAAGCTCTCTAACGGTCCCTGCTTTTCCAGTTAGACTAGATAGACCATTGCATAGATCAACTACTAGATAGATCACTGCATAGATCAACTACTAGATAGATCACTACATACATCAATACTAGATAGAGCACTGCATAGATCAACTACTAGATAGATCACTACATAGATCAGCTACTAGATAGAGCACTGCATAGATCAATACTAGATAGACTATGGCATAGATCAACTACTAGATAGACCACTGCATAGATCAACTACTAGGTAGAGTACTGCATAGATCAACTACTAGATAGAGCACTGCATAGATCAACTACTAGACAGAGCACTGCATAGATGAACTACTAGATAGATCACTGCATAGATCAACTACTAGATAGAGCACTGCATAGATCAACTACTAGACAGAGCACTGCATAGATGAACTACTAGATAGATCACTGCATAGATCAACTACTAGATAGACTACTACATAGATCAACTACTAGACAGAGCACTGCATAGATCAACTACTAGATAGAGCACTGCATAGATCAACTACTAGATAGACCACTACGTAGATCAACTACTAGATAGAGCACTGCATAGATCAACTACTAGATAGACCACTGCATAGATCAACTACTAGATAGACCACTGCATAGATCAACTACTAGATAGATCACTGCATAGATCAACTACTAGACAGACCACTACATAGATCAACTACTAGACAGAGCACTGCATAGATCAACTGCTAGATAGAGCACTGCATAGATCAACTACTAGATAGAGCACTGCATAGATCAACTACTAGATAGACCACTACGTAGATCAACTACTAGATAGACCACTGCATAGATCAACTACTAGATAGACCACTGCATAGATCAACTGCTAGATAGAGCACTGCATAGATCAACTGCTAGATAGAGCACTGCATAGATCAACTACTAGATAGAGCACTACGTAGATCAACTACTAGACAGGCCACTACAAAGAAAGATCAAGTACTGCAAGACCACTATGAAGACCACTACAACATCAACATCTGTGAAAATCATCTGTTCCTCTATGTGGCTGAGGATCAGGTGCAAATATTATTTTGAGGGAGTAACCTGTGCACATGGTTGAGACGTCCCACGATGACTAAGGTGTGCTGTGATAACCCAGCCTTCTGTCTCCCTGTGCAGACTGTGTCCATGGCCTCACGGTAATGTTGCATAGTTCTTTGTTAATCACCCTGTGTGTACATGCGTATGCGGTACATGTTTGTAAGGTTTGTGCACATGTGCACGGAGGCCAGGGGTTGTATTGGGTTCCTCCTTTGTCATTGTCCATTTTCAAGTTTGAGACAGGGTCTTTCAATGAATCTGCTACTCACAGCTAGACTGGCTGGCCAGTGAGGTCCAGGGACATTCTTCCCATCCTGTCCCTGTGCTGGAGTTACAGAAGTAAGCCACCATGCCTGACTTTTACCCGGGTGCCAAGGATTCGAACTCGGATCCCCATGCTTACCCAGCACGCACTTTGCTGACTGAGCCATCCCGTGTCAGCTCCATCATCTCGTTATTGTCATTCTTTGCTTTTTTGTGTGACTTTCATCCATGTACACAATGCCTTACGACTATCCATCCTTCCTAACTTCCCATCCTCTTTTCACAATCATTTAGACAGTTTTACATTTCATGGCATCCAGTTAGTGCTGTCTGTGTGTGCTTGGGTGTGGGCTCAGCCACTGGGCACGGGCAACCTACAGCTGGCTACCAGAGAAAAGTAACTCTCCCTCCCCAGCCACCACCAGCTATCCACCAATGGCTGCTCAGCTGCAGATGGGGCCTCGTCAGCTCCTCTTTCGTCCGTCCGTGCTGGTTTGGGCTGCCTTGATCTGGTACAGTTCAGCACAGTTGCTGAGAGTTCACGAGGCAATAGCCATCTTTATCCTTTTTAAGGGCAGCGTGCTATGATGCCCTGCAGACACACTGTTCATCTCCTGTTGACCCTGCTGTCCGCAGTTCTGGGTGGCTCCAGACAGTGCCCTGGCTTGTCAGTGAGGTTTGGAGAGAGGGATCTTCGAGGGAGCGAGGTGGGGTTTTGATGGCAGGTTCCTCAGGGGAGGCAGGACCTTCAGATAGCCAGAGGGGAATGCAAACATGCTCGGCCCAGGATCTCCAGGTGGCTTTCTGACTCCCACATGGGGAAAAGATTTCACATTACAGGTTCCATGTAAGGTTCAGGGTGGGACTTAGGTGCCTGGACATTCCAGCCACGGGTGCCACTTGTCCCCGGGAGAAGAGCTCCCAGCCATTGAAATGGACTGCCCTAAGTTAAAGCGGTACTTTTTGCCCTTCCATGATGTGGGCGCCTGTCACGTTCCTCAGGATGCTTCTGCAGAAGCAAGTGGTTCATTAGGGGTGGATGGGCGGGAGGTGTAGGCTGCCTTTCTACGTGGGTGACTGACTTAACTCAGGTGGTGACAGGCAAGGGCCTGAGACCTTATTGATGCTAATGGTGATAGGTCTTGCCTTAATGGCACCCCTGAGCTGTAAGGCTTAATGGGTCCTTACAGATATTAATGAGGTGAAGGAGTGCCAGGGAAGGAGACTGGCAGGGCTGTGACTGTGATCCTAATGAGGCAGTTAAGGGACTTGCCCCGTGGCATTGTGTTAGGAGGGAAGGGAAGCCAGCCTGCGCCTCCGGGCATGGGACTGGCCATCCGCATAGGTTTATAGCGTCACAAATGAGGGTCCGGCTTTGTGCTCAGCTGCATGCCAATCTGATGCTCCTTGACTGGGGGTGGAAAAAGCAGATGCATACTGGAATGTGAAAATCGCCTGGCCAGGGGGGCTGGGTGGGGAGGAGGATGTTGTGGCCTAATTGGGGAAGATGGCTTCCTGGTGGAGAATTCCACTGGGGTTTATTTCAAGAGCTGGGAGTCTGTGTGGTCTGGTCGGAGGAAGCTGGTCTGGAAATCAGATGCCAAACCTGTCACTTTAATCCATTCTTGAGAGTCACCAACTCCCACTTACAGAACGGCAAATGAGAAGACCTTCACAGAGAGTGTTCCAGAAGTCCTCTGCAGGAAGAAGAGCCATTGTTATAATTAGGCTATAATTAGATTTACTCATTCTGTAATTTTTGAGAAAAAAAATTTAAGGGTCTTTTTATTCTGTAAATCCTGGTTTGTTTGCAGTGTCACCCTCAGGGTTCCCATGCAGTCATTTTAGAGCAGCGCTTCTCAACCTTCCCAACGCTGCAGCCTGTGATACTACCCTCTAGAGCAGCGCTTCTCAACCTTCCCAACGCTGCGACCCCTTAATACAGTTCCTCATGGTGTGGTGACCCCAACCATGAAACTGTTTCATTGTTACTTCATAACTGTAATTTTGCTAGTGTTATGAATCATAATGCAAATATCTGATATGCAGGATATGCGACCCCAAGGGGGTTTTGAGCCACAAGTTGAGAAGCACTGTTTTAGAGGGTCCCCATCACTTCGTGTGTGGTGGAAATGGACCTTTGAGCAGGCCTCCCTGACTTTGGAGAAGTCACGAACAGGCACATTTCAAAGGGAGAGCCATTGGGCTCCATGCAAATGCCTGAGAATCTGTGTGCAAAGCGCTTTCATTTGTGGGTCTTTTTAAAGTTTGCACAGCGCTGGCTGTTGATAACATCTGTGGCTTGTCATGATCCTGGGAATTTGTAGATTTTTCTTTTCAGGCCCTTTGAGAGAAGAAGTTTGTGGGAAATGCCTTTTCCCCTGCTCTCAGTTACATGGGAAACCTTTGAAACTTGACTGATAGGATCATAATTCCTTCTGATGTGATCTCCCGGTTATTCTGCACATGCCTGAAGTCTCTTTACTGGAGGGGATGAAATTGAATATGTCAACAAGGAAATGTTCTTTTGTAGAAAAAAAAATGTTACTGGAGGTGGGAAATCGTTGCATACAGCTCCAAGAATTTATTTTTCCTTCTAAAGGTTCACAATTTTCTTTTTCCAGATGAATTTATCATGGATTCACCTGTCATCCACAGGAAAAATGATTTTCTTTCACTTACACTTATCTGAAACAAAACCAAAAAACCTGGGTGGGTTGTGTATATAGAAATGTGAATACTTTGAGATGGGGAGGTGGGCCCGCTTTTCCAAGTTGGAGGGCCAGAAAACTAGAGCCATAGTCTTGTTTCAGCTTGTTCTCCTTAGCCACACATTACACAATACAGTAGCAACAGCAATTTTATGGTGATCCAGTATGCCTGGGAAGGTGGAGAGCCAAACCAACCTGCGGAGGTGATGTTTGTGGAATGCTGTTCTTTGGCAGGTTTTATGGCTCCCTCTAGTGGTCATAGTCTTGAATTACAGTCCTGAAATGCAGCGAGCGCTTATCATTGATGGACGGACCTGAATGTCTGGTTCTCCAGATACTTATCTTTCCAACTAGTGTATTAAAAAATTATGCTTGAGGCCGGGCGGTGGTGGCGCACGCCTTTAATCCCAGCACTCGGGAGGCAGAGCCAGGCGGATCTCTGTGAGTTCGAGGCCAGCCTGGACTACCAAGTGAGTTCCAGGAAAGGCGCAAAGCTACACAGAGAAACCCTGTCTCGAAAAACCAAAAAAAAAAAAAAAAAAAAAAAAATTATGCTTGAGACTCATATCATGAAAGGGAGCTCACCCCTGACACTGCCTGGAGTGCCAGGACCTAGAGGCAGGATAGTCCAGAGATCTAGAATAGAACCAAATAGCAGGACGGGCAAAAACAAAACAAAACAAAATACTCTGTTACACTCATAGATTGGTGCCTAGCCCAATAGTCATCAGAGAGGCTTCATTCAGCAACTGATGGAAACAGATGCAGAGACCCACAGACAAACATTAGGCAGAGCTTGGGGAATCAGGTCTGATTGTAGGACCCAGTGGTGTCAAGGGCACCATAAGAAACTCCACAGAATCAACTAATCTGGACTCACAGAGACTGAACTGACAACCAGGGAGCCTGCATGGGACTGACCAAAGACTCTGCGTATATGTTACAATTGTGTAGCTTGATTTTCCTGTGGGACTCCTAACAGAGGGCGCGGGGGCTGTCTTTGATGCCTGCTTTTGGGACCCCTTTTCTCCTACCCAGTTGCCTCATGGAGCCTTAATAGGAGAGGAGGTGCCTAGTCTCACTGCAGCTGGGTATTCCGTGGCTGGCTGATATCCATGGGAGGCCTGCCCTTTTCTGAAGAGAAACAGAGGAGGAGGGGTGAGAAGGGGAGGGGGTGAGGCAAGGGGCGGGGAGTTGGGAGGAGAGGAGGGAGGGGAAACTATGGTTCGGATATAAAAAATAAATAAAAAAAAACTATGGGACATTGATTAGTTAGGAATGAAATACAAGTGACATTTGATTTTTGCTAGCATGAATTATCTCCTAGCACATAAAACTATCAGGAATGATAGAAACCTGAGGCTGTGCTAATCTGCTCCATCCACCTGTCCATTGCTTCATGCATTCTTTCATTATTTCCCTTGATAACAGTTCACGGTGCAGGCAGGCACTTTCTCAGGCATTAGCAAGTCAGTGGATAAGGCTGATGAAGCTTCCATGGTCATTTATAAACTGTTAAGCCCATGGGCAGTTATTCCTGTATGACATAAAAAACTGTATTAGAGAGAGATCAAGAGAACTGAAGGGTTTTTTTTTTAAATGCTTAGAATTAAATTTCTGTCAAACCAAATTTTGCTAATTTATACAGTTATATAAAACATTTACAAATATACTTATGTAGAGAACAACTGAGTGGTCTATTTATTGTGCAGTCAGAATGCATCACATACATATCTTCAGCTCAAATGCAAAAGCTGCACATATTTTTCCCCACAGGGAACTGACTCCCAAGACCCACACTGATTTCAGGGTGTGGGGCTGTGTACAGGACAGGGACGTCACCCTTTCCAAATTCGTGTTGACTTGGTGGCCAGTGGGGGTGGAACATTTAGTTAACTGTGAATAATGCCGACAGTGAACTTAGAGGAACCGGGAAAATATTCGAAAAAACAGACCCACCCCCTGGCATCTGGGAAATGCTTGCGTAGAGCGACCCTTTCGATATTTTTTGAGACTGAGACTCATGTAGCTTAGGCTGGTCTCGAACTTGCTGTGCTGCTGGAGAGGACCTTGAACTTCTGGTCCTTTTGCCTCCTCCTCTTGAATGCCGGGATTCCAAGGGTGTACCACCACACGTAGTTTTTGTGATGCTGGGGACTGAAGACAGAGCATTGTGCATGCTGAGCGGTCTCCTAGCTGAACTACATCGCCAGTCCCTGAACCACCTGCCACTTTGTGTCCCTTGACACCTTGCAGCTGTCCGAGGGGGCTGGGGGGTGCGCTATAGCCAAAGTCAGAGTGGGGATCAAGAGGATGGAGTGGAGCCTCGGTATCATGTGCTGGGAGGGGTCCTGAGGGTTGGAGCTAGCCCCGTTGCTTACCTCTTCTCTTGTTTAGGGAGCACAGTGCACCCTGAAGGTTCCGAAGAGGACACAAACACTCCCAGGCAGACTTCCCGGGGTGATGGACCCACAACATTCCATCATGGAGAAAGCCCGAAGGTACAGTGTAGAAGTGTCATTCCACAGCCTCCTGTATCCCTAGCGACCACCTTGCTTTTTTTAGTGACTACCTGGCAGCTCCTTGGACACCGGGGCTGTGGGCTCCTCCTTGGCAGTGGGCCATGCTGATGCTGATTAATGCTGAAAATCTCCCTGTCTCGGGATGGAAGGAATGGGGTAAGAAGTTGTTATAATTAGGCTTTTTGTGGTCCCCTCTCTCAGCTAGATAAGCATTCACAAAGCCAGAAGGAAACTAGGGGACTGGACCTAATATGCTTAGAGAGTCGGTGAAAATCTGAATTTGAAATTCAGCCACAGACCAGAACAAAAGCAAGGCAAATCCACTTTGCTCCTTCCCTCCTGCCTCCCCAGTCTGGCTGCCTGAAAGAGGACAATGGTATCAGGTCATTGTGTCCTCCAGAGTGACTGGAGTCTTGGGGGGGAAGGAAGGTTACAGAGTCCTTTTTGGTATCTTGGTGCTCAGTATTTTGATAAGATTTGGAGTCTTCCCTGAAGCCAGCCCATACACACACAAGGTCATTGCTCTCAAATCCTTAAAGAGTCAACTCTAAAGCCTAACTCTGGTACATGAGATGCAACACAGCTCATTTTGTTAAGTAGATTATTCGTAGACAGCAGATTCTACAGAGGATTATGGTATTCCAGTAAGTCTTGGATCATCCTTGAAAGTTGTGCATGGGCAAGCATCAGCCCCAGCTACCTGGCAGAGAGTAACTCTTGTTTTCTTTGGCTTCCGGCAGAAAGTTGGGCTAACTTAGGGCTCTGCCAGGGCTCCGAGCAGAGACTATAGTAGTTGGCCTCTTCTGGTCACTGAGTTTTAAAATTTCCTTTTAGAGGAAGCAGCAGGAGTTCTGGAATATTCGAAATGCATGCATGTGTGTCTGGGGATGTCTGCACACTCAAAGGCAGAATGCCAACTTAAAAAATACATTGGCACCGGGTGATGTTGGCACATGCCCTTAATCTCAGCACTCAGGAAGCAGAGGCAGGCAGATCTCTGAGTTCGAGGCCAGCCTGGTCTACAAAGTGAGTTCCAGGATAGCCAGGGATACACAGAGAAACCCTGTCTCTTGAAAACATAAAAAAAAAGAAAGAAAAAGAAAAGAAAAAATACATAGGCACATATAAAATCATACTCAGTGAGTTTTATTATAATTTTCCCAATATATAATGTATTTTGATTATAGTCATTGCACTGTTACCCTCTGTCTTTCCCTGTCCTCTTCCACTGGCCCTCTTCCTTCTCCTGACTGCTCCTCTTTTCGTCTATCTTCCTGCTACACTGCTGAAGAAAGTGTCTCACCCCTCCCTTTATAAATCCTCGGGGAGGGGCCTCAGGAGCCCTTCCTGAAGAGATCACAGTCTTCTGTAAGTTTGGTGCAGGTGCTCAGAGCTGCTGAATTCAAGAGTGCAATGGCCATGTCTTGCCTGGAAGCCGTCATCCCACCGCACTCCACCTCTTCCTCCTGCATTCTTTCCGCCCTCTTTTCTGTGATGTTCCTGAGCCTTGGAGGGGTGGTGGGATGTCACACTGGAGGCTGAGCACACATCAGTCACTTATCCTCGGCTCTTTGACCACGTGGGAGTCTCAGCAGTCAGCCCTGACCACTGTAAGGTGAAGATTTTTCCTGTCCAAAGCCGACAGCAGCAGCAGCACCCTATGGGGATTTTAACAGGCGCATCCTGCCCATTTAGTAAGGCAACCATAGCGGCTTCCCCATGGGGGCCTGTGACCCACCCTGGCCATCGGCTCTTGAGCACACTTACAGTTCGAGATGTGAATTTGCTCCTGCAGGGCAGACCTCACATCCGGTCTTAAAGCAGCTGGCCGTGACAGACTTGGCACTATTACATCAGTGGACCCATCCAGCCTGGTCCAAAAGCAGTGTAGCCTGCAGAGTCCGCAGCTGTAGCTGGAGAGTTTCTCTCAAGCTCCCGCCAAGCCCTGCCAGTCCCGGAGCCCACTTATAAAATAAACACACCGACTCTTATATTATTTAAACTGCTCGGCCATTAGCTCAGGCCTACCATTGTCTAGCTCTTACTCTTATACTAAGCCCATTTTTGTTAATCTATATGTCTCATCATCCCATACACTTGACATCATCTCTTGATGACTTGGGTAGTGCAGTATACATACCACATAAGTCATCATTCAGTGCTGTAGAGGAGAATGACATGAGAAATGTGGGCATGCCCAGTACGGCCTGAGCTGTTTTGGAGTATTCTGACTTGTGTTTAGCTGAATCTGTTCATCCCTCAAATGCTGGGGCTGACTGCATGGCTTCCTTGGTCTGCTCTGACCTTACTCAAGTCTTCTCAGCTGGGCTGCCCCTTGGGTCCATCCAGTAAATACGTGCACCTGTGACAAAATGTCATTTCCCTGTGGCTAGCTGGTATGTTCGGATATGGCTTATCCCCTTCAATCTCAGCGTGAAGTGTGGGGACAAGCCAAGCCAGGTCACCCCAGGCCCTTAGTGTCTAGTACTGTCCAGGATGACCTCATCACAGTGTTTGAGGTGGATGCCTTTGGCTTACTTTCTGATTTCAGGAGTGGGTCACTGCAGAACAGGAGACACAGGATGACCAAGAATGTGTCAAAGGAGAGGAGGAAGCTGGGATGCCCCTGAGACCCTCCTGGGTTGAGACGGAGGAGAAGGGAGCCAAGAGGACAGTGGCAGCCGCTGGGCTGGTTGGTGAGCCATGGCGGAAGCGTGTGCGGCAAGCTACTAACTCCTCGGAGGTTCATCTGGCTTCACCAGGATCTGAGCCTGAGGGTTTGATGTGGCCCTGAATAGTCTCTGGTGCTGGAGATGGTGTCCACAGGTCCTGCCTGTCTCTGCTCCCCTTACAGGCTCTGGGATAAGAGGGTCTCAAAGAAGTGCTTGGGTAAGCCAAATACGCTCTGGGAGCCACTTTTACAAGCCAACTGTTGGCAAATCCAAGACTCTAAAAGCTCACTCGTTAAAAGTAACATGGTTTCCGCTCCCCAGGAGTATGGTAGGGAGATGCGTGGGACCATGTGAAGGTCCTTAATGGAAACGGGCTCAGAGACGGGCCATGGTAGCCATCTATGATATGCATTCAGCCCTGATGTAACTTCAGAACTCAACACCAGAGGTTTTCAGGGAGACAAGTTCCTTCTCTGGGGACTTGCCAGTCACTTCAGAGCTCCTCGAGGGTAAGCACCAGGGGTGTATAATGCCCACTATGCCAGGGCAGATGGCGCCCCCTGTGGGCCCTGGGCTATTTCGGGCCCATTGTAGTGCATGTGCTGCCTTCAATGCTGTTGGGTTCAGCCGTCTGGATTTGGGGTGAGATTTCTCCCAGAGAAAGCTGGTCTGGCACTTTGTGCTCCCTGAATGGTCAAAGGACACATGCTGTGGGACCTCAGTTACTTATGTATTCATCAAAGCACCAGGTTTTCTGCTCATCTCTATGTATGTACATACATACATACATGAATATATACATGCATACAGCTCTCCTTTTCTCTCTCGTCTGCTTCTTTCACCTCTTCTCTTCCTTTCCCCCATCCTCTACCCATTTATCTGTCTGTCTATCTATCTATCTGTCTGTCTATCTGTCTGTCTGTCTATCTATCTATCTATCTATCTATCTATCGTCCCCCAATTCACCTCTATATCCTCTATCAATCTATCCTTCCTTCCATCTAACTCTCCATCCATCCATCTATCCATCCATCCATTCATCCATTCACCCACCCACCCACCCATCCATCCACCCACCTATCCAGTGTGCTTTCTGTTGGACAAGCTCTGTGCTGTGCCCGGGAGACTTAACTGAGGCTCCGTTTCAGCCCCAGGGAGCTTCTTTGTCTGGAGGGCTGCTCTTGAGTGTCCACTGTGGTTTTCATCCCTCTCATACACACTGCAGACAGGGAGGGGCCAACTGTGAGGAGGCAGCACTTGCAGCTCCCTACAGGAACACTGAGGCCCCCCGTTTGCATGTGGGATCTATCTGTGAAGGAGACCCAGACCACAGAAGTGGACTGAGCATCTTCGAGGTGCTCTGTGTGGGACCCCATGCATCCTTAACACGTGGTTCGTGTGCTGTGAGAATTTTGTGTTTTCTGTTTATATGAACATTAACTCAAATGTATCTCTGGGATTTAATAAAGTTATTATTCAATAAAGCCATCGATGTATTAATAGCTTCATTTTAAGACTTTCAAGGTGACCACAGAGTTCCGGGAGGGTCTCTGGCCCAGAGTAGCACCCACCTTGATGGTGGCACAGAGGATACCAGCACTGAGGCTGGGGTCGGGCACTTTCTGTGCAGGGTACCTAAGGAGCTCTTGCTTGTGTCAATGTGTGGTGAGCTGGTTTACGCAAGATCATCAATTCTGTGTATTACTCAGTTTCTCTGTGTCCTTGCCTCCCCATCCCTTTGAGACAGGGTCTTGCTGTGTAACCCAGGCTGCACAAACTTGCCATCTTCGTCTCCATAGTGCTGGGATGACAGTGCCCGGAGTGTTCCTATTATTCTTAAACAGCTCTTGCTAACATAAATTATAAACAATAAAAGTGCTGTCCAGGGTTCTTCAGCCCCCGCTCCAAACAGTTTCCCAAAGAAGCCTGGTGTCCATTGGCACCCTCTCCCTTTGCACTGTGTTACCATCCCTAGGTATACTTAGGATGGCGTCACCATCCATCTACTTTCTCTGGTTACAGACTTGCCTGCTCTGAACATGTCTCCTAGCTGGAATCACATCTTAGTGGTCATTGGCAGCTGACTTTCTACACTCAGCATGACAATATTCAGAGGACTATCTACATTACAGCATGTATCAGCACTCCTTTCTTTTTCATGGCTGAATAATATTCCACCCCGTGGATGTACGGTGTTGCATTTGTTCATCTACCTCCCAGCTGATGGGCTTTGGGATTGAGTTCTAGCTTTGGCTGGAATGATAATATTAAGATTATTGCTTCTAATTTGCAGTTCCCCGATTGCTAAGGAAATTGGGAACTTTTTAGAATATTTATTGGTCATTTATGTTTCTTCTTTGAGAACTGTTTGTTCAGTTCATTGGCCCCAATTGGTCTAGTGACTTTTATTGGTGTTTAATTTTTGTAGTTTTTTTTTGGTATCATATATACTATTCCTCTGCATTATGGTTGATTTTAATGCCAACTTGCCATACATTAGAATCAAAGGGAATCTCACCTGAAGAAGTGTCTGCCCTGGTTGATGTGGCAAGATCTATCCTGATTGTAGGTGGCACCTTCCAGTAGCAGCCTAGATGAAAAGGGCGTGGTAGAAGGAAGCTCATCTGCATCTGCTCACGTGGCCTCTCCCTGTGGCTGAGTGGATTTGCCCATTGCTGTTGCTGCTGCTAATTCCATCATGGACAGCAGAACCAGTGTTTCCAGGCTTTCACTGTGGACGAAGGCCCAACGTCTCCCTAGGAACCTTCAGGCTCCAGTACCAGATTGGGCACTGGGCTTGCTGAGGTACCCAGCCTTGTGGACTGAGAAACTACCAGCCCTCCTTCAGTGAGAGAGAGCCATTGTGGGACTCCTACTGCTGAGGCACCAGCCTCAAGGACTGAGTAACTACTGGGTTCTCAGCTCTTAGCTGTTGTTTCTACCCAGAGCTGACCTACTAAATTATTCTGTCTGTCATCTGTCTGTCTCTCTGCCGGCCTATC